GGGATTGGAGCATTCTCTGCATCGCTGCATCAGTGCTTCTAAACTTCCTTCTATCAACAGGAGTGGAGAAACAATGAGAAACCTTCTTGAACAGATGTGTCCCAATGCATGTCCCATGTATAGTTAATGGAAAGAAGAGGGAGAACAAAAGTAGGAGGAAAAGAGTATTCCTTGATTGAGGAAGATATGGAGAAAGAGCTCAAATGCTATATATGGACAACCTGCACTACATGAAGATTGTTCAAAGACTTTATAAGAAAACTACAAACCTTTTTCTAAAAAAGAGCCAGAATAAAGCTGACCTAAGTGTACTCCACTCCTAGGCACGCTTACCTGAAAAAGTCCCCATCGATTTACTTGGGAGTGAACATGCTTAAGCTTGGAAGTGTAAGAGTAACAAGTCTTCAAGGAATACAGATCAAACCCTTTTTGATGTTAGCTCTAAATGTTTGGCTGGCAGTTTCATCACAAAGCCAGAATGACTGATGTTAATCTATATTGTGCTATTATTTCAATAGCCCTTCCATAAAAACATGAACAAAGGTCTAACTTCATTTACTTCCAGAAGGACAAGGATGAAAGAAATCTTACAACAAGAAAACTATGGATTTCAACCAACTGTCAAGGAAAGAGGCTTCCATTTTTATTAATAAAGTAGCTGTTCTTGTACTAGGAAGGAATACCATGTTCACCAAAAGAATAAACTTAAAGAAAGACTTTACACCAAGTTCCTCGCTTAGAAAGTAGTGACGTCTGCCACCAGTGCTCCAATCATTCACCTCAGTTTCCCTATGTACTTCGGCTACAAAACACTAAATTCCATGCCAAAAGAAAGAGTATTCCACAGCAATTCGCCTTTAAAAAGCAAGCATTACAAGCAGCAAATGGTGTTAATTTTATTTACTCAATGCCGTTCATGTCCAGTACACACAAATACACGCAAGCATACCAGCTGGATTTTTGCCACAACAAAATTCAAGATTTCACCTAACTTTTGTGAATATGTTATAAAGCGAATTACTATTTCCTTGAAACTCATGTTAAAGCTTTTTTCTTGTGCAATAACTGAGTATTATTAAGTCAAAACTGTAGTTATAAAATTGATAGAAGCAACACTATTTATTGACTTTTTGTGTAACTTCTCACAGTACTATATCTATTTTTTGTGTAAGGTCTTTTGGTATCTTTTTTTCCCTTTTGTTTTTTCTGCTCCTTTATTTTTAAGAATTTTTAAAAAGCATTAAAAAGATTTCACCTAACTTGACTATCCATTTTGGTGAAGTGCCAGTATGATGAACTTGTTAAATAACTCTTTACACATAGGTGCAATCCCATACTCTGGTCAAGATCCAAAGAACTGTGTAATTGCTTATTCATATTCAATGGGACTTTAATTCTGTGTTTCTTGAATAAGAGACCCTTCCCCATGTTCTTTTCAAATTGAGTTTAAAAGTAAGTGGAGCTGCTTACTATTCAAAGAAAACAATGAAAAAGAAATAGATCACTTAGGATTCATTAGCTGCCAGGTTACAGATTTGGGATAAAAACAAACTACATTATATGGCAGGGATGGACAACCTTGAAATAATTTCAAGAGGCCTTCAGCCTCAGCCTAACTCCTTTCAGAGAAAGAAAAGGTTTATGGAAGAAAGAGGGACCAGTCCTCTAGAAAAGATCAGTTCAGAACTCTGGAAAGAGCAGTTTTGCCAATCTCCTGCAAAAGCAGTTGGGCAGGGAGAATGAGAAAGAAAGAAAATGGATTGTTTTGGTTCACTGTTGGTCTTTCTCACTGCTAGCATACAGCTTGAAATTATCGGTAGAGAAATGGTGCCCTTAACAAAAAACTTCCCTACCCCTGATCTATGGAGGATGTCAGTAGATGCTTCTCGGGGGGGGGGGGGGGGAGATTATTTCTTCTTTAAATAAATGCACTTATAAAGAATCATGTAGACCAACCTTCCCCAACCTTGTGCCTTCCAGAAACGTTTGGACTGCAACACTCAGAATTCCCAGAATGGCCCTACTTGATGGGAATTCTGGGAATTGCAGTCCAAATGCCTCTGAAGGCTAGGTTAGGAAAGGCTGAGGTACACAATGGTATAAGCCCTGTACTTTGAAGAACTAAAAATATTGTTCTGTAACACTAAAATGCATTAAAGCAAATGAACATGCAAATTACCTATGCTACTGCATCTGTATTTATATATGAGCTCAACATAAAATATTGCTTTTAAATGCACAGGATTTGTAAGGTGTAGCTGCCTTTAATTACGGTAAAGGTGGAATAAAAATATTTATAGTAAAAGTGCCTTTCCAGAAGTGTTTATTTGTATTTGTTTGTTTGCTTGCTAGACCATGTTTCTTATCAAATAAGATTTCTGGACCTCAATGATTATATTACTTCAAGAAACTACCTGGGATATGAATTGCTGCCTAGGAGAGCTTGAAAAATCTCTGGCATTTCTGACATTTTCATAACTCATGTACAGACATGACATATTCAAAGCAGGTTCTGAAACTCTTCTCAGATTAAAACAGTTTGCTAAGCAAAATGGGAAAAGTATACTGGGTATGTGTGGTGGTGGTGGTGGTGAGGGTATAGTAAGGAAGGGAGAGAGGGGACAGAAGCCTAAGTCCCCTTTGATTCCTAGAACTATTTTCATGTTGATTTAAATCTTGGTCCCCAAGATGAAGAATACTGTAATATAGCTGATACTCGTGCATATGATTATCTATGCTAGCAATTAACAATTATATTATTTTGTTTCTCATTAAATCAACAACATCCAAAATAATACCACTGTATAACTTCTATTCTGTAGAAGTTGTGAGCAACTCCACCCCTCCTTAAATGCTGCATCCCTATTTATACTGTAATGAAATAAGAATATAATATAAACTCATCTGTTTTATAATTGCATCCTTTGTTCAATCAACTTAATACTGCTTCTTTCAAGAATGTAGGTACACTGAGAAAATTACACTCATCTAAATAGCCAATCCTTTACAGAGGCTGGGCTTGCACAATCAAAAAAAGAAAAGCAGGAATGACAGCTTGTTTTCCCTAACCCATGCACGTGAGTTATGTTATGTCTTATTTCCATAATTATTCACACAGGGCATAGGTTGCCTTGTTGTCTAAAGCCAATGAAGTGGGAGGAAGGGATTGTTTCCAAACCATTCTGTAAGCCATTACTTGTTCTAGAGTTTCGGGATGGTTTGGAAGCCACTCCAGCTGCCAAGTTCAGATGACACAACAATTGTTCCAGTGTGGGTAATTACAGATATGAGACAGTGCAGAACCAACAGACATGAGGTTGCAAAAGAAGCCTTGGTGCTTTCATTCCTCCTCCATGAGAACCCAATCAGAAAGAAAATGTAGATTTGAATGTGAACCCATTCATGTCTTAACTCCAATTAGCTTTGGGAGTTATATAAAACCACTAGGAATATTATTGATGGAGATTATTCTAAGTGGAGACAACTGCAACAGAAGTATAGGTCTCTTGCTTATGCATCACCAAAATCCAACTATTATTTCTTTTCTTCTAAATTCAGCATACTGCCAAAAAAATAATTACATTGGTTTGTGATGAACTCTCTTTAAGGGTTTTGCTTAATAGATTATGGAAATTTTACATGCAAGCACAGGGTTCTAATATAGACATCATAAGCTTGATACACATTTACTAACTGGAATGAATTTTAGAAGCTGTTTTCATAGATTTTGCAAGGGTAAAATAAGCAGGAAGTGGGGCTGCAGACATATTGCACAATGTCCAAGTATAACTAGGAACTGCAAAGAGAAGCTGTATCAGCATCCTGCCAAGCTGAATGGCAACAGCCAGAAATTGGTAACTGATCCTGGAAAACAGCTCGTAAAGTTTTTTTCTATCACAGCTTAACAGAAGTATCACTATACGATTAGGTATGCAGTTTATACAATTAAAAATAAGCCATAGAAAAAAATTTCAGCATATCTACTGAAAAATGTAGACAAATATGATATCATATTATTCTAACAGAAGGATCAGTACGCATTTCTTGACTTAGTTACCTTTTCATAACACCTCAAAGGGCTTAAGTGCCAAGTGCATTACTAGTTTTCTAGATTAAAAAGCCAAGCTGGCTGGAAAAGCAATTATAAACCATAACAAACACACACACACTACCAGCTCATATTCAGCTATTGAGTTCTAGGGACATTGCTCTTGAAAAGCTTGTATATGCATAATAATCATAGCTTTACTTATATTTTACTTGTTACAATTGTTTTATTTGAACACATTAAAAGTGCATACATCACTGACATCCACAAGGAACTCTTAACAGGCACCTTTGGCAGCCAGTTGTGATCCAGAGATTCAGCAGCAGTTGGAACATTTGAGGGTGGTGGTGGTGGGGGGGGAGCAGCTTGTGATCTTCTCTCTTCCTCTCTGTGCCTCTTACGTCTGCTGTCTGAAGCCAACAGCTGCAAGTTATACTGGCAACAGGGGTATGGCAGCCGTGCCCAGTAACAGACAGACATCCTTGACTATATGTTTCACTGCCTTTTTAGTATATTATAAACTGCCTTGAGAACTTCTTTTAGTAGGCAGGGTAAGTTAAATATGTTCCATACATGTTACTGTCACAGAAAAATTAACAGGCAAGTTCATCCCAAGTTAATATTGAAACTCTACTATGACACACAGAAGCACTAGAGTAGGTTTAGCTAACACAAGTAAGCAAACTTAAGGGCAAAACAGATGGACTCACAATAACAGCCCTGCAGAGTGCCATCAAGGATCTTAAGCAAAAGGATAAATAGCAAGATACCATGCTGTTTTGCTAAACTCACCTGACAGAGGTGCACAACCATTCTCTAGGAGCAGAGATGCATGCACAAAAGTAAGAAGATGATTGCAGGTAATAGACATCCACATAACAAACTTTACAAATCTCTGAATGAATAGAAATGTTGTATGAAACTGAATTTGGTTTTTTTCTGGATTTCTCACCTCTCTCTTTGCAAGCAGGACGTTAGGAACGATATGCGGCAAACAACGTCCGAGCATTAGCATGACACTCTTTTCACTATCAGCAATCCGAGATACCTAGAAGTGTAATTTTTATTAAAAAATTATATGTAGCAATGGCATTAGATAATGCCCAAGGAAGAGTCTCTCCCAGAACTCAAAAAATGTGCCATGACCCTTGGAAGGATGCTATTTGTAAACAAAGTGAAACAGAAGACAATTATCTGTGCAGTATCCATATAGAACGGGCTCTGGGAGCAGATACAGCGAGGGCAGCACCACAGTGCAAACTGCCGTGTCCATGTGAGTAACAGATCAGTTGCCAGAAGATGCCATTGCAACAATGGCATCTTGTCCTGCATGCTCCTGAGGCAGCTGGGTGGGGCTGCCAAATGAACTGACACCCCCCACAGGCCTTCTCAGGCTATTCAGCCATAGTGCCATACGGAACTAGCCAGAAGTACACTTGAAGATTACAAGTCAGAGACTGAAATGCTCTCCTCAGTCTGACTCTTACGACTCATTAGGATTTAATATTTTACTAAAATAGCATATACCTCTGATCCCAAACGGCTCTCTGCTGACATTTGACAGAAAGACAGCAATGCTTGATGGAATGCAGGCGATAGCTTCCTGGAGGAGGAGGGTGGGGAGGGAACACAACAGAACACAATCGGAAAGGTAGTATTAGTAGAGACCGATTTGCTTCACAACTGACAGCTAAAAGAACAGAATATACACACTGCTAGAACACTGAACCGCTTTGCAGATTAGACAAAAAGCTTGCATAACAGTGTACAAAGTGTTATTCTACTACACTGAGGAACTTCCTCAAGAAACAGGAAAGTGTGCCAACTGATAAAATTACATCAGCTTTGTCTCTTTACGATTGTTTTTGGAATTATTTCTCCCACCAGACAAAGCTTAGAGAGGAGAAAAAAATATAAACGCACAGGAATTCTTTATCTACTAACCCTTAACATAAACTTTTCTTTTTACCTTAAACTGTATGTATGGTGTGTGGGTGCTTATATGGGGCCAAATTGTGGGAAGCACTTTTAACACAGTACACAAAGCTGTCAGTTTATGTGGCTGCTGTAAGGATTGCAATCCATGTCTGTGATTTGACACTTGTGTATCTGATCTCAGATCTGAAGTGCTTGTGGGTAACTTTTATGCCCACTTTGACTTTTCCTCCTCACTTTCTTCTGCCTGAACACCTTATGTTGCTTCAGAGACTCTTGAAATCTCTTTGCCCCAGGGGAGGCTGCTATCAGAAGAATGTCCTCTGAAGATCTGGTACACAAATAGAACATTGTTCCACTACCCTGTCTTGGCACAGTCACATTCTTAGTTGCATTAAGATGCATTCTTAGACATTCCTGACTTATTAATTCTGCTTTGAAGCACTGCTCTCTCAAGAGAAATCTAATCTTGTCATGTGACACATTTTAACAAATTTAGTTAGTTATAACATATTATGGGTGATAAAAGGAAGCTGCTGGTAGCAGCATTTATTTTCATCATGTTTCTAATGTTACATCTCTGCCCTCACTGTAAAACTATCTCAGGGTGGTCAGAATATACACTAAATCATAAGCACTAAAGCTGCAAGAGCAACTTTTCCAATGAGGTGGTCTCTAGAACTACAGCTTTCATCAGTCCCAGACCAGTCAGCAGTACCAACCATCAAGAATGATAAACTATAGCTTGGACATCTCTATCTCATCTGGTTGGGAAGGCCAATCTAGACCATTAGTGCCATGTCTGTCAGGGGTATTCCCACAGGAGAAGCAATCTACTTTTGCTTGGCATTCTGAACAACAGACTCAATCAGTGCTTCAGTGCAACAAAGCTGACCCACACAATGCAGAACCATCAGATCACAAGTCACATATAACATGGAACAATATTGTTCAGGCAGCACTGTGAACTGGGTTTGGCAGTTAACATATTGCTAAGTGCTGGGGATGAGGAATCCATCTTTTCTCAGCTTAAAATGAAAAAGTCTATACAAGCTTTTTATGCGATATGTTACAAGTTCATATCAATGCACACTTGATAAATGCACTCTACATAGTAGGTAAAAGATTAAAATCTCTTTAACATAAAAAACTGATGTTCTTATTCCACTAATCACTAACCTATTAGGTTTGTCAAAGTGTATGGCTGCTTTATTTGATGGGGAACAAGGTGAAAGCGTCTCTCTTTCTTTACAAGAGATAGAAATTACAGTATCCTCTTTAGAAGTCCTTGACGGAGGTTCCGTAAAAATCCTTTTGTCTTCAGTTTCAGCATGTGTGCCATCATTAGCTGAACTCTTCATATCTAAGTATCTCCCATTATCATCTGGGACAGTGAGTGGCACTTGTGTTAAAGATGACTGGACTGCGTCGCAAATCACTGGAATAGGAGCATTTTCATTTCTTAAATAGTCTATCTCACTGAAAGAAGGGAGGAAAAAGAAGATGTTTTACAGCAAGCAAGGCATTACTAATAAAACCTTTTCAGTAACGTATGACTGAATTTCAGTCTTCAAAATGTGTCCCAGGGCATGTATGCAGTCTGTTTTACAAGCTTAGGACCCTATGGTAGCAACTCTGAGGGAATGGCAATGTATAGTTGTTTATCCATCTATCAGAGCCTTTGTATGGTAATCACATTCAAGGCAGGTTAAAAAGAGAAACCTATCATCAACACAAAAAACAGAACACACAACACAAAAAGAAACCCACTAAAATGCAAAGTACACGAAGCAGCAGGAAAAACTATCAGCAGACAGTAAACTATAAAATGTATCACAGGGTTCAGCTAAAATCGCCCACTGTCTGTTTAAAAGTACCAAGATAAACTTCCCTTATTTATTTATTTGACTTCTATACCGCCCATTAACTGCCTTGGCAGGTTTTCCATAATGTAGGTGCCCCTTCTATTCTACTCACCAATTGCACTTCTGTCAGTCCAAGGACAAGAAGAGCCTCAAAAACCATAGTTCTTGAAAACCCTTAGTTCTTGAATACATTTATGTATGGGGGAAGGTCCCAGGCCAATAAAGGCTTAAATAGTGAAACAGCACCGTGAATTGTGCTGGGAAACAAACTGAGAAGCAATGAGGTTGCAACAGGAGTGGCATAATGCAACTTGTGTCAAGAACTCCATTTTCTCTTTTGTGCTCCAGAAGTTTGTACAGTCCCACCTGCAAAGGTTGGGGCTGCACATAGCAGTTAAAACACATGTGTATCTCACCTTTACGATGTCCCTAGCCTTACGATCAGAACAAAGCTCCATTAATTGGACAGAGTGATCTCAGCTGCATTCCCACATGCAAGCTCACTTGTCTCCCCATTTCTCTTTATAGGCCTGAGTATTCTAGCCAGACTGAGCTTGGATGAATGAGATCATCTTAGAGTTGCCTGGGGCTTGATCATACAACCAGCTGTTCATAGTCTCTGCCTTTCTTGTCATCTCATCTTTGCTTTGAGCTCGGAGTAACTCCATTTAGGCTACAGATCATGCTCTGTGTGCTTCACTTTAAATTGCTTCAGTACAAAATCTAGGGTTCTTCTTTTGGTCAATGCTACTGTTTTCAGGCATAAGGGTTAAAAATAGAGGTTCTTAGTTTAGTTCCTATTTTGTATACCTTAGGTGAATCCTATAAGGTCTGAGAGTACCCTGGCTCAGACTGAGTTGGACATAAGGGCTGGTGACACCCTCCTCTGCTGGGTTGTTCACACCAAGCAACCTTTTGTACTTGCCTGTACTGTTGGGATTTAGGAAAACATCCTTTCTCCCTTTACAACTTGCCCTGTTGATCCCACACAACCTGGCCCCAGCATTTTGAACCCATTTTTAGTTTCCAGGCTGTATTTTAGAGGATCAATTTATTATCTCTACTGCACACATTCACCAAAATAACTCTGAAAACTGCTTATCCTAGAAGGATACCATGGCTAATGGTACTGAAAGCTGTTAACTTGAAAATGGTATCTAAATACATTGATAAGCCAAGAAGATTTGCATTCATAAGCAGCTTAACCCTATTTATGTTTTATTCATTTCAATGCATTGTAGAACACAAATCAAGAGAAGGTTAGGTACACCTAATTTTTCCACTAAACTCAATGGGACACTAGAGGTAAGTTTCATAAATATTCCATCAAATGTCTTACCTTTTACTGCTTATGTGACATGGCTACTGAATACCAAACAATGTCTTTTTATTAGTGCCAACAATTGCATGATACAAAACTTTAGCAATATTCAGAAATGCCCAGTTTACAGTGCAGCAATACACACCTTTCAAGTCGTCTTATTTGTTCCAGTAGAGACCACTTTTCAGTGCTTAATGCATTAATTTGATCTTCCAATTTCTGCACCATTACACATTGCTAAATGAAAGAAATATGAAGGGAAAAGTTGCTAAACTGTATTTTGGAAGCAAGCTTTAAACTGCAAAGGTGAAATTACATCTGGCTACCTCTATTGATTCTGGTGTTCCAAATACAGGAATGTTCTCCAGGATGGGAGTGGTTGCCTCCAGTTCATCATCTTCTGTCCCAATTGCTACATCCACAACATTTTTTGCAGTTACTTGGTGGTTCCCAAAGTCACGGTACAGCTGTAACAAGTCTGGAGGCTTTGGAATGTTCAGTCCTACGTCGTCCCACAGCTCAAAATCCTTCAGAAGTGAAAAAGTAAAACAGTATGGATGTTTCCTGTCAATGAGGCAAGTATGGTACTACAGGCTCAGTACAGATGCATTGTAAAATAGTCTATAAAATCTAGCAGATTCTAAACTTCTGAAGGGATTATACTTCCTACTTAGAGATTGATCAGTTCTGTACAATTCAATAACCCTTTTGGTGAGCCATTTAATTTGCAATGCATTTAACCATGATAAGCAATATCCAGTGCTAGTCTTTCAATAGCCGATAAGAATGCTAGGGCAATGAGAAGCTACTGTTGGTAGGATGTCTGAAAACCAGTCCAAACTGGTGCTTCTGGAAAAGGACAGGTCACCAGAGTTTGATCTGTGCCATTCCAGAAGAGCTAATCTGAGCTAGTTTCCAGTGGCATTATCAGAGGCTAGCTTCCTGTTTAACCTTTGCACAACCCATAGTCCCTGTGGTTTCCACAACATAACAAGCTATGGCCAGGTGTTATTTATGCAAGTCCTATTTGGTACACGCCACAAGCCACCATGATGTAAATAACACATGGTGGGCTACTTTGATCATGCAAAACTGATGACTGCATAATAGAAAGTAAAAATACAGAAACTTAACAATTTAACAATATAACTTAATAATATTATTTCAACTTACCTGATCATCATTTTCATCTGAAAAAGTTATTGAAGTAAGCTTGTAACCATTCTTTAATAAAAATTCATTGACTAAGAAGTTTAGAGCTCTTTTTTCAAGAGGTTTAATTGGCTCCTAGGATGAAGAACAGACATATGGAAGAAGTTAAAAACCTTAATCTCGTTAAACTATCTGTTAGATTATGATTTAGGCATCATGTCTAGGCATCATAGTGTGAGTCATGGGTCCAGCAAGCTATATGGCTAAAAGTGGGTAAGTAGGTAACTACAAACATTATGGACAACAACAACAACAAATATAGCCTCTTCAATTACCCACCTGAATTTCAGGACTTGATTTGTAATTTCTCCGTTCCTGCAAAGGAACTTCATTTTCTGTGAACACCAATACAAAAAGATGTATATTATTCTCTATTCTGTAACACATTGCTGATTTCTATTATATCAAAATACAAAAGCTAAGGAAAAGGTTTATGTACACCACCTGCAGCCTGAGTCAGGTTGGCTCGGAGGGCCTGAATGGTCTCTTTTGCTTTCCGTAGTTCAAACTCCAGGACTGGACAAGGGTTTGGATTAAACATACACAGGCATCCAACCAAGAATAGAGAAACAAAAATGAAATATAAAAAAGCAAGGATGGGTATGAAAATAAAATACAATTTGCATTAAAGACAAAGCATGCAATCTTTATGGCATTCATGAACGCATGCAGCAGAGTTAGACTGAAGCAAACTGGTGAACATTTTCCATAACTAAAAACTAATCTTAATAACTTAAGCTGTCTGACAAGGAATGCTATAGGTTTTAAGCAGAACATTGTACAATTTCGGAAGTTTTGAATGACTTCCATTACAAAGCATTAACATACATTAGTATTTTGAAATAAAAAAACCCACAGATATCAACGTGTCTTGCTTTGAGGGGCCACAATGAGTTAGAATAAATCTCATACCTAGCATAGAATTTCCTGCAATTACATGTTACTGCCACTATATGGAGGTGACTTTAAGTTCCTCTATTGGCAGATGCTATGATGTGCCATGTTGCTTATGGGGAGCAGTTTATCAGGTGGTTTGATATTTTCCCCTGGCATCATTGCAAACTCAGACAATGCAACACCCCCCCCCCGCAAAAAAGTTCAATTAGTTAGGCAAAATGGGATTGCTTAACATTCATGAATTCCTTTTTGCCATATTCTGATTTAAAGATTCAGTTTATCAAATATCTCAAAGTGGAGCCTCTGCAGTAAAGGGGTTAGAATTCACTAACAGACAGTTTTAAATTATGCTTTTGCATTACTGGTAACCAGGGAAAAATTGTGCAGGTGTTTTCCAGGGATTACTGCAAAACCTTTTACTGAAATATCCCAAAAGTTCAGTTTTAAACCATTGCTCAAAAATTAGCTGGCTTAGTTATGTGGATACTTTCCTTTTTTGGAAGATGTATATGGAAAATAACATTTTACTGAGGAATTTCTATAATATGTTCATCATAAGAGTATATGGAAAAGAGTTTCACAGTTTGCATTTCCCCCCCGCTTTAAAAAAAAACCCAAAACAAACAAACAAAAAAACTACACACAAAACCAGAAGGGGTAGTAAAAAGTAATCACATCTACCATAAAGTAACTTGTTTGATGCACAGAATTCTACTGCAGAAATACAAAAGCACAACTGAGGATTTGATGAGAAAGTGTGAAAAAATCTGTATTAGTCAGCAATGCTGATCTGCAAATATTTCTGTGCAACAAAGGCTAAAAAATGTGGATATACATCATATAGTAATTAATTCTGCAGAAGCAGTGAACATTAACATTACTTGAATAACCTTGGATTTTAAAAAGCTACTCAACTTGTGTATGAATTCAATTTAAAATTAATTTAATATGATGGACAAGTTAAAATATATGGTTACAGAACAATTGCAGATCAGAAATGCCCTGCAACGTGATGGTAAAAATGTTTTAAAAAATAGCAAGAACACAAACTCCAGTAAGCTAATGAATTCCAGTAAAGAAACTGAAGTTCAACAGCAAGACATAGCAGTGAGGGCACAGAAAGCTAGAAAACCCATATTACATGTCAGACGGCAAAGTATTTCCATTACTTAATTATGACAACTTTGAAATACAATGGTCAGCCATTACAACTATATTTGATTTCCCTATGAAAACAGTTTACTCTGCTGCATGGTTTCCTTTTAGACATTCTAACATTTTAACAGTTACTCAGTGCAACAATTTATCAAAACTTTCTCATGCTATAATTAAAACAAACGCACGTGCGCACACACATACACACAACTAGATAGAAAATAAGTTAGTTGCACTTTGGTCCCACTGAAATAATGGAACAAGTTAAATTGCAACTCATTTAGTTTGGACCTGAACCACAAATGGCACCAAGGTTTTTATCACACACAATATTTAGATCTTATTAGGCAGAAAACCATGTTAAAGACAATATATTTTTTCATGGATTATAGTAGTTTAACTACATTTGTGGGTCTTCCTGCAACTCTAACAAACCCAAAATCAGTGAAGAATTCTGTCATACTATAAAGACTCATAAATTCATTTCTGCATGAACTTTTAAAGATGATGACATCTGATTTACTTCAAAAACATTTATACTACAGGAAATCCCATCTGCTATAGCAAACTTACCCTGCCCACCACCAAGTACCCCATCTTTGCGCAGCCCACACCTTTTTCCCTGTCCCAAACTCTTCCCAAGAGTTCTTCTTTTGCACAAGAAACTGCAGTGGAAGACAGGAGATTTCCACTTATGTCTTCCTGGATTCAATCCTGTATCTTTAAAAGGTGCTTCAGAACTCTTGTTTTATGATAAGAGATGAATGAAGCAGTCCTATCTGTAGCAGATGTTAAGCTTTCAAAACAAGGACAGGCAGTACTTTTTTTGTAAAAAAAAAAAAAAAGGCGCAGAACCCCCCCCCCCCCCCCCCGCACATGCACCAATCCCAAGCCGGGAGCAGCAGCGTCCCAAGCAGCTATCTCTCATCTCTCACTATCAGATAGCAGATAGCGGATAGCAGACGCAAAAGCAGCCTGCAGGCACTATGTTAATAATGTTTGCTGCTGATCTGCTATGCCTTCAAAATCACTTTATTCCCAAACTGGACTGCTGCCATTATAGGTTTTCTCCTCCAGGGAAAGAATAATATGATAAACCTCAGGCTATATGCAAAAAGATCCAAAAGACTTGTGGAGTATGCTGCTCAAAAGGTTTCACTTTCATTTTTACTGCTTGTCCCTCCCTCCCCACACTTCTTGTGCAGATCCATTCCACACCCAAGATTTTTATTCTATTCACTGATTTTTTTTGAAACTTAGCATTTAAAAGGTAAGGGGTTGATTTTGTGTACATAGATTTGCAAAGGAACAATGGGATTAAGGTCGTTTTCTCAACTCTGTATGTTTTATACCATTTTTGCTGTGAAGAAGAGGTCTGATCTCTAAAGGCACAAATTCACAGTTTTGAGAACTGTAAAACCAAGCATCTGTGATAGCAAAAATTGCCCAATAATCTTACAGAAATCTCTGGAAGAGCATGGCATCGTGAATGGATTAATGGAATTCATTTACCAATAAAATTAAACACTGCATGACTATACAGCCTCATGGTACATAATTAAAATTCATGATGAATAACCTTTTGATCATAAAGTATCTTAAATAGAAAGCTTTCTTTCGATGGATTCTTCCTTAAAAGGCATTATATTTAAAAAATCCAATAAAAAATCCAATTGAAATAAAAATCTGATTTAAATTTAAAATCTGATTTTTTTTTATTTAAAGAAAATCATTTTTATCTACCGTTTCACAGAGGCCATTCTTTTGCAGCTGATATTTGAAGGCTTGCTACTTCAGGAAAAAAAATTCAAAACAAAATTCAGATAAGAAGCCAGTAAGAGCAGAAAAATGATAACATTCTTGACCGCAAGAATGTGAACTGCTAAGTTGTTAAAAGTGACACTACCCTGACCTGCTTCACACTTCATAGGTAATTTAATCCATGAATTCCTTAAATCTAGTAGGAGTGAATGAGCACAGTGCTTCTGGCACACTCATTGCTTCCAACACTGTACAGGCATTAAATAAACCTGAGCTAACTCAGCAACAAATTGTGGGTTAACTCTGAACTGTGTAACAATTTAACAACCCAGAATGACTAGATTTGGACATTATACCAATCGGATGATGGTAGATTTCTAACTGAAAGTGAAAAAATGAGTGCCAGGGGCAGCATGTTCAATTGCTCTAACTCATTTCCAACAACCCATGGGTTGTGATGTGTGAATCAGGCAGTTATTTAACTAGTACCCATGCGCTACCAAGAACAAGCTATATTCAAAGCACCTGTCTAATACATCTTATCTTATCTCTGCTGGGGAGGCAGTGGTGGCACATGTGTCTGTACAAGTACTTACACAGATGCTCTTCCGTCTGTTCCCCTGGACAGGGCTTTCACTTGCTAGTGCTTGCAAGATAAACAGTTCCCTTCTCATCTATCAAGGGAAAGGTTTCCCTTGCTAGTACTATCACAGGCTTACTTTGCTGGCTTTAGTGCTAGCAAGGGTAACCTAGGTGTGGCCCCAATGACTTCATGAGCCATACTGGAAGCAACTGAGGGCTGCAGCTGTGTTCAGAGGACACTATCACAAAATGGCTGCCTTGCCACACACACAGAGGAAGAAAACACAGAATGCTCTTTCTGTTCTTGCCCCGTCAGGTCACTCCATTCCCATCTATCACCAAAAGTTAGCATTTCCCTTTCTTTTCTTTTAAATATTTTGGAGACGAATCCTGGCCTTCTGCTAAAGTACTTACGACAGCCTGGCAACCTATGAAAAAGCTTAGGGAATAGACTCTTTCTCACCTCCATGTTCATTACAGGGCTAAGATCACTCCCTTTCTACTTCTGAAGGCCCTGAGCATGGTGAGGGCATAGAGAATTTGTGGCATTGGAAGAGATCTTCATGTGCTTTGTGCTTACCAATTTCTGAGGTTTAGCAAGATGTGCACAAACTGAAATTAACTACACTCAATGAACACAACCAATATGTACAATGGAATGTATTTCATATTAAACTGTATGTGATGTAGCTATCCAGTACATAATTCTGATGATCAAGTTGTTTAATACTGTTAGTTATAGGCACATTTTCCCCACTTCACAGTGGGTATGAAAATAAATGCTGAATAATTAGCTGAATTTCTGCATAATATTTTTAATGGACAAAAAAGCCTCAAGAAAATCAGTAAGACTGGATGTTAAAAACAGGAAAGTTTATTACGGTGCTATTGCCAACAAGGGGAGAGAGTAATAGAAGCAGAGATAATAAACAGAGAAAACATTGGAAAAGACAAATAGACAATGGTGCCAGAAACAAAAAAGCTCATGGATTTCGGATCCCAAAAGAAGAATGGATAGGTAAGAAAGTGTTTTGTCAAAATGGGAAATATGAAAAAGGAGATTGGGGATACAGTGAATAAATCTTATAGAGATTTGAAGGGGTTGTTTGGAATGGGGCTAGAAAGGGGTTAAAAAAACTGATGGGCAGAAGATACTGAACTCCACTAGTTGGTAAATTATTTCAAATCAAATCCTTAGTTGAAGATCTTATTTGGCATTCCAGTAAACAAATATTCCATCTCTTTACAGATGTGAATGCCTCTGCAGCTCAATTATTGTTTTTCAATAGTACAAATAAAATTGCCTTCAGATACCCTCTCCAATTTTCAACTCAACACAGCACAGCAAACATGCAATGGGTATGCCACATTTCTTGCCCGGCCAAAAATACTTTATTCCTGTTGTAGCAGCACTCCCAACATAATGTTTAAAGTTCTTGTCAAAAATGTTACTGCTTCTCACTTTCCTACAATAACGAATGCTTAGAAACTTTAAAACCACCACGGAATTTGCTCATGAATGGGTGTCAAACACTACAGCAGGATATTGTAAAGTTTATACTCTAAGGCAGCCTTTCACCAGCTTGAGCAATCGCAGCTGTTTTGAACAACAATTTCAGTACAGCCAATAGTTATGGATGATAGGAAAATGATGTTCAGAAATATCTGGAGGGACCCAAGCTAGGGAAGGCTGCTCCAAGGCAGTTATCCAAATGGGAAAAGGTTGGCCAATGCAACATGGGTAACTTCCCAAATGAACAAAGGGAACACTATGGATATAATCCATATGGACTTTAGCAAAGCTTTCGACATAATGCCACACAACATTCCGATAAGCAAACTAGCAAAAACTTGTCTAGATGGAAAAACTATTAAGTGGATTCAAAATTGGCTGCTAAACTGGTCACAAAGAGTGCACCTTCTCAAACTGGATGGAGGTAACTAGTGGGGTGCCACAGGGTTCAGTCCTGGGCCCAGTGTTCTTCAACATCTTTATTAATGTTTTAGATGTGGAAGTACAGGGAAAGATAATCAAATTTGCAGATGATACAGAACTGGGCAGAATAGCAAACACCCTAGAAGACAGAATGAAAATTCAGGGAGATCTTGATAAACTTGAACACTGGGCTGAAACCAACAGAATGAAATTCAATAAGGACAAGTGCCAAGTCCTCCACCTAGGAAAAAGAAACCAAAGGCATCGATACAAGATAGGGAATATGTGGCTCAACAGAAATGAACAAGAAAAAGATCTTGGAGTAATTGTGGACAATAGGCTAAACATGAGCCAACAATGTGATGCAGCTGCCAAAAGGGCAAATGTTATTTTGGGAAGCATTAACATAAGTATTATTTTCAAATCAAGAGAAGTAGTAGTTTCTCTATATTCCTCACTAGTCAGACTTCACCCGGAATACCGTGTCCGGTTCTGGGCACCAAGATTTAAGAAAGATGCAGGTAAATTAGAACGGGTCCAGAGGAGGGCAATAAAAATGATCCAAGGTTTGGAAACACTGCCCTGTGAGGAGAGACTGAGGGAAACTGGGCATGTTCAGCCTTGAGAAGAGAAGACTGAAGAGGGACATGATATCCCTCTATAAGTACCTCAGTGGCTGTCACAAAGAGGAAGGTCAAGATCACTTCTTGCTAATGCCAGATTGTAGGACATGGAATAATCAATTCAAGTTGCAGCAACCCAGATTCAGGGTATCTGAATCTCACGGTCAGAGCAATACAACAGTGGAACCAGCTGCCTAAAGAGGTGGTGGGCGCTTCCAATCTGGAGACATACAAAAAGAACCTGGCCAGTCATCTGACTGGATGGCCATCTGACTGACATAATGTCCTGCAACAGCAGGGGGTTGGACTCAATGGCCTTCATGGCCCCTTCCAACTCTTCTATAATTCTATGACATGCTTGCAGCAATGGGCTGGGTTCAAAACATGGTTTATTTCTTTGTTTTAATTCAAAGAAACAAAGATATAAAATCTTACCTACCTAATTACTCACTCAAAAACAGCTCCTGTTACTAGACAATACGTTGTAAATTAAACTTAATATGTTCTTGTGCAGAAGGAAATTAGTTTTATTAACTTGCTGCAAATACAAGGACATCAAGCAACACAGACACCATTTGAAACTTACTTCTTATCTGTAATCTTACTCACCAGCCACCCGCTCATCTGTTTCCCTGTTTCCGTCATCTGAATATCTTGCAAAGTCCAAGGAATCAAGAGTGCTAATACTTCCAGCTCGATCTAGGAAAACCAAAGGAAAATGGTTTTTGTGTGGGCATGTGTATATTTTTGAAAGTGTTAAAAGTGCAGTCCAGAGGGATCCATAACCCAGAGAAAATCATGTAGATTTGAATGAACTCTGCTTGTTTTCACAATAGTTTCCAGTCTGAAGTGACAGCCTGCATGAAGAAAAGTACTAAAAATCCTGTGATCATCTTCATTAGGACTACTGGGAATATATCACTGTTCCTGTACTGAGGGAGATTAAAGGAAGAGCAGGACCATCCCACCAGCCCAACCAAAGACTCCTCTTCTTGAAGGCTCTTCCTCCTTTAATAGTAACCATTCCAGCAGATTGTACTGGGGAAGATGAATGGGAGAGCATGGCAACTTTACCAGCCCTGCTAAAAGAACTATTTGCCCCCTCTTCCTTTCCCATTTCTTTATCTTGTGTGTCATCACTTTTTAGTTTGTTAGCCTTCAGGCAATTGTCATGTTTGATTATATGCAGACCACTGTGGAAGTCTTTTCTGATTGAGAAACAGGATAAAAATATTCCAAATAATAAATAATGGCACACTTAACTTTTCATCATTACAAAGCCTCTAATTTTATGTCTATTCCCTTTCATTGCGTTTTCCCACTAGAATTATGTTAATACTGCAGATAGGATACAAAGATCTAAAGACAAGACAGAGAATATATGAACATAGCAACTGTTCCACGGAGGTAGGATATTTTGTGCTGAGTACAGTAATCTATATAGGACAGCAACAAAAAGAGTTTTGTGATCATTAGAAGGAGAGAAAGGAAGCGGGGAGAGAATGGGTGTGAAGGAATATAATGGAAAGTCTCAAACAGTGTACTCCCTTTTAGATTAAAGCTTATCCTTTATAAGTAATCATGTGATGGTTTAGCTATAGAGGTGTCAACTGTACTTATGTCTAAATCTTAGTAAATTCAATAATTTAAAAATATCTGCTAAAAGCAGAATTATTATAGGTTCAAACCTTTCAAACATCAAAAAGCAGAAATGTGAATTCCTGTTCTCAGTGGATAACATGGAAACTGTAACTTTGCACCAAGACAAGAAACAGTAGAAGAAACTGAGCGTTAAGACAAGAATGAAATTGCCTGCTTAACTCTAAAAAGTATCACAGTAACACTAAAGCTCTAAAAAGAAGCTGAAATGTATGCAGTTAGTAGTTTATATTAAGGTTTGTTTAACCAGTTGAGTAACTGATTAGAGAGGACTGACTTCAGGGAGATCTATCCTTTTTACTTCATGCCAAAGTGTAGAATTAGCTCCTTCACTGACCAATGAGGTCAAGAATGGCTGGGTTTTACATTTCTTTCATTTCTGGCACATCCCTGATAGGGCAACATTAGAGGCAAGGCATCTTTTCCCTTTCTGTCAAACATTTTGCGAAGAAAATCTATTTATGTATACCAGGGGAGAGGAGGGGAAGATGAGGTAACTTCAGAAACACCTAACTTTTGGAAAGAGGTTTTAAAAGAAAATACTAAAATACTGAGCTTAAATATTGAAGTAAATCCTGGAATTGCCTTATTGTCAATATTTGATAAGAAACAGTGGAGAAGAAATATTAAAGACGTAGTAACAAACTTAGTAATACTTGCAAAATTAATTATAGTCAAGAATTGGAAAGTAAACTATGATTATCAATTGAGTGATTGTTACAAAGAGTTATGGAATGTGTATTTATTTATTAAAAGCTTTTATAGGCTGTCCTTTATATAAATATCTCAGGACAGCTTACAGCAATTTAAAAACAATTTAGAACATCTAGTAACATTATTCACAGACTAAAATAGTAATACTATATAAAACAAAGAATAGACATCAAATAAATCAAATAAAAATAAACAAAGCAGAAGTAACTGGAATCATCAAAACTATTAACTTTTAAAATAGCACTTAAATAAAAAGGTTTTGACCTGGCGCCAAAAAGAGTATAAGCTCGGCGCCAGGCATAGCTTTCTGGGGAGCACATTCCAGAGTCAGGGCATCACCGCAGAGAAAGCCCTACTCCAAGCTGATGTCCTTTTAATCTCTTTTAGAGAGGGTTCCTGGAGCAGGGCTTCTCCCACAGATCTTAAGGGGCGTGAGAACATATAAGGAAGGAGGTGTTCCTTCAGTTATCCTGGTCCCAAGCCATTTAGGACTTTATAGGTCAAAATCAGCATCGTGAACTGGGCCCAGACTTCAACTGGAAGCCAGTGGAGCTGATAGAGGACCGGCGTCATGTGAGAATAATGGCTGGTCCCCGTCAGCAGCCTGGCAGCTCTATTTTGCACCAGCTGAAGTATCTGGACCATTTTCAAGGGCAACCCCATGTAGAGTGCATTACAGTAATCCAAGTGGGAGGTTACCAGAGCATGTATCACTGTTGCTAGGGAGTGCTCATCCAGGTAAGGACGCAGCTGATTGAAGTTGTAGAAAAGCACTCCTTGTCACCGCCACCACCTGCATTTTCAGTGACAGCTCCGGGTCAAAGAATACTCCCAAGCTGCCCACCCTGTCCTTTAGAGGGAGTACAATCCCATCCAGGACAGACCAAAGTCACCTACCTTTAAACACGAACCACCCACCAAAAGGACCTCCATCTTATCTGGACTGAGGATCAGTTTATTGGCCCTCATCCAGCCCATTACCTTGGCCAGGCACCGGTTCGGTACAGCCACCGCCTCACCTGGAGCAGATGTAAACGAGAGGTAGAGCTGGGTGTCATCAGCATAGTGATGACTCCGCAGCCCAAACCTCCTGATGACCTCTCCCAGCAGTTTCATGTTGATGTTAAAAAGCATGGGGGACAAAACAGAGCCCTGCGAAACCCCATGGCAAAGCTGCCATGGCACAGAGCTATAGTCCCCCAGCACCACCTTCTGCAATCGGTCGGCCAGATAGGAGTGGAACCACTGCCACACAGTGCCTCCTACTCCTAAATTGGCCAGCCTATCCAGAAGGATACCATATAGTTAGTAATGATAAATTAACTTGTGATATTAAAGTGAAAAAGGGCTTCATAAATAAGAATATTTTTATAATATTTATAGACCATTTTTTGAGTATGTATTAGAAGGGAAAGGGTTGGAACCTTCACAAAATTTATTGTTGGAAGAGGATGGGGATTTCCTGAAAGGATATAATATTTAAACAGGTACCTAACAGTCCTGGTGGTGGGTGCACTGTTTTTGTAATTTAATTTGTGTTTTTTTAAAAATTTGTATTGTATTTATATGTGTTAATGTTATGAAAATGCCTTTAAAAAGGAATGCCTGAAGAACTGTAAATTATATAGCAAACAGCATTCTCAGTAATGTATCTATTGATGGGAAAAGTATTGAGGTTGCAATTTTATATTTACCTGGCGCTAATTCCCACTGAGGTAAATTGAACTTGCACAAGAATGGCTTACAAATGCAGACAAGTTATGAGAATAAGTAATTGTACATATTTTAATACAAAGCTGTCATTTTAATACATTTTAATAAACTACCATCATGGACCCCTGAATCACAAAGCAGTTTTTTTCATCCAAATTACCAGTTTACTCTTTTGTTTCATTTAACCTCTTTCCTATAACAATCAATATCTTGTGGTTTTTGATACTAGCTCTTTAACTTGGTGTTCAAAACTGGCTTTTGACCAGTTTCTCTGAGGTGCAACGGCTGTCTAACCTTCATCTTCTTGATCTACAGGTAGAACAAGTTACTTTGAAATTATTTCATAATACTGCACAATTATTCAACATCCACAGCAACACCAACAAGGTCTTATTGCTATTATCCATGTTATAGGTAATGGGGCCAATTAAGAGGGGAAAAATATCCAAATAGGTAGAAGGAAATAATGAAAATACTGAACTTTTAGTATTTTAATTTAAATTAAAATAAACACAGATTTTCCCCCAACTAATTATTTTGTATATGTGCTCAAAAAGACTGCCTTTTAACCATGAAGGTACTTAATTCAATGTTCTTACAAACTGTACAAGGTGAGGTAATAAGTGCATTCAAGTCAATAGTTTCTCCCAATCTATTTGTAGAAACAGTTCTTTGAGAAACATAAACCATTTGTCAAAAAACTGTGCATATTTGCTGCAAAGGAAATATAAATTGCTTAAACACCATGTATCTTTGAAAAGATGTTATAATTCAGACTTGTAAAGAACTTCTGAGAAGCTATCTGCCCTTTTCCTACTCCACTCATAACCATGTGGTTGCATGTGAGCACTCTCTCCGCTCATCACAAAGTGCTGCAGAGAAATATGTTGAAAGTGCAAAAGGATACCATGAGTGCTGCTCTCTCTCTCTGCTCTGGCATATGTGCACATCCTTGGAGACCAGTTTTGCAGAAAGACTGGCTCCTCTGTGGACTTTTCCCTTCCTAGCAGAGAACACTCAGCTGAATATGATGCATGCCATCTGCCTCTCCCTCCAATGAGGTAGTAGCAGCAAGTGTTAAATTTTGCCTGAAACAAAACAGCATAGTACCTCTGCCAGAATTGCAAGTATGGAGGGAAAGGACAAAATAAAGCAGGTCCAATAATTTGCCATTCTGTCTGTCACCAGCATCAGCTACTTATTCCAGGTAGGCAACTACTGATACAATTGTCACTTCCATTCAGTCTGCTGGTAGAAAAATCATATAAACCATGGGTCCTCAAACTACAGCCCACGGGCCAGATACAGCCCATCATGCTCATTTATCCAGCCCACCTCAGGCATTCTCTGAAACTGAGCAGAGAGCTGGCACACGTGCCAAATTGTAAGAGCTCAACTGCGTATGTGCCGGCTCCCCCCCACCATTGCACACACATACAGACTGGGAATATGGAGCAGGAAAAAGAAGAGGGCGGAAGAGAGAGAGAGAGAGAGAGAGAGAGACGAAGACACTAAAAAGGGATTGAAGGTAAGAGAAACTTTTTGAATCCATTTTTAAGTATGTGAGCCACATCCCTGGGCTGCGGGCCAAGCCGTGGCTGCTTCGCCAAGCC